GCTGTTCCCCCCCCCCTCCCGGCCCTCCCCTCCCTGGCTGCGTGGTCTCTATTATCCTTATTCACTACATTTTCGGTATTGCAGTCAGGAGAGCAACTCGATATTTTGTGATGCTATAACCCAGAGAATTGACCACTGGGCAAAGTCTTTTCAGGGTGCATGAATTGGTTTTTTGTGTGTCCCCTGGGTGGCTACCAACATTTTTGGTGACATTGTCTTGTACTGACGTCTCCTCGGACTGGTTGCAGCATGAAACTCAAAGAGTGTTTTTAATTTTAATTATAGGCGGATGGATTCTCTGACGAACGAGGGTAGGGTGATTGATGACGGTGCGGGTCATGTTCACCCACTGGAGCGCAGTGTGGTTGATCGATTTCGAGGCGGAATTGCGGCCACGAATATCCAAGAACCATTAGCAGATGTTCAGAGTCGAATATTAGGAGGCGAGCAGTTGGTTGAAAACCGGAAAATCATGAGCATGAGAACCAACTTGGGGATCGGTATGGCCCAAATATACGCACGAGACCTCGAGCTCATCTCACACGCACGAAGACTGCAGGGCTGTAACCTCAGGTCTTCCCAAATCAGCATGGAACAATATATGGATAAAGAAGATGTCATCGACTTTGGGACTTTTAGATATCGTAACCACACCACTACCTTTCCAATCACCATCCCCTCCGGACCGATGCTCTTGTTCCCGAAACCTTGCTCCGAAACCTTGCTCCGAAACCTTGCTCCTGCCATAACAACTAGCCATTCCTTCAGTGGAAAAACCTGACATGTCCGAGGTCGACCGACTAGGAGTTCGCAATGAGATTCTGTGAGATGTTTTTATGATCGTTGGAAATATGTTTCACCGGTGCTGAAAAGATGCGCGACCGATATGCTAGTGTCAAAAAAGTGCTGCTTCGATGGTGTTGCTCTTCTTGATGTATTTTTTTGGTCATGCTTTAACGATTTTGATGATGGCTGGGATAATGGCCAGTAGTATGATGATGGCTCCGACCACGGAGTAGAGCGTGCCAAGGAAGGCAGAGCGGCCGCCGAGATACGAGAGTTGGGTGATGATGAAGTACTTGTGTCCTCCGTAGCTCGTAATCGGATAGCGGTTGGTTACCTGGATGTGCAGCGGGAGGTCGACATCGTCGTCGATGACACCGTAGGCCTTGAGGAAGTTCGGGAGCGCACTGTCCCTCATCCAGACTTGAAAGTGCGCATTCTCCATGCGTCCCGGGAATATCTCCTCGTCCAGCCACTCGTCCAGGAACACGGTCAAGTTGCCGCTTGGGTTCTTGAATAAATACTCCTCGTCATTCGGCCACAAAATGTCTTGAACCCGCTGCCGATAGCTACGGAAACAACTTTTGTTATATGTTCGCTTACGCGCGCGCACTTACGCATGTGCGGTCACCCGGGAGGTGAGTGATCGGGTAGAGCGTGTGTGGCTCGGGTAGCGAGATAGGTGACTCGACGGGTAGTGAAATAGGTGGCACTGCGGGCAGCATACTTGTAGTAAATCTTGCAGTCGCGTACACCTGTTTGACAGTACTTGAAGGGCACAAAGGTATCGTTGAAGACCGATCTTGCAGCTATACCACAAGGCGTTAATATAAGGTAGTTATTAGGAGCGGAAACGGCCGGCTCACAGAGGCTCAAGCGGTTACGGTCGGTAATTGAGTTTCCTTTCAATTGGGCTAGGACGCGACTGGAGCGGAAGGTGCTGAGATTTTGACCAAAGCCGTCCAGTCTGTAATAGGTAAATATTGGTCCCTTAATGTAGTCGACGTCCCGGAAGATCAATTCTCCGGTGGTCGGATCTTCAGTCAGCTGGCGATGGCTGCCAATGTTTCCGCTGCAGTGGTCTCGAGTGATGGACAAGATTTGCTCGCAACCGGCACCACATTCCACTGGAGAGTCGCTGTACTCAATGCCACACTCAACCAGAGAACTTGAGTTCACGATCAGGTAAACTCCGGCAGATAACAACACCGTACCCACGGACGACAGTACCGATACCAGCCAGACTGGCCGTAACACCCACCAGGTCCCTCCCGGCCAATCCACCGTGTTGCGACCACCATTGTAATTGCGCTCTGTCATAACCGGGCGCGCCCGGCACCAACGGTTTTTTCACCGCCCAAATCCAAATGACGGATGGAGCTGGAGATTCGAACCGGCCTAAAGACCCCGCGGTTGCGGACCAGGCAGCTAACATTGGCACGTCTGGCGCCGAGACCCATTCCGGTAGGATGCTATATTTACAAAAACTTTTAGGAATCGGACACTTGCTACTGGATCAGTTCAACGCAGAAACACTGGCCGGAATTGCTGGGAAGGAAGCCCATGCCCTGGTCGAGTTACGACCGCAATTTGTTAATGTTTGGTGGTGGCTTTTGGGTTCTTCCATCCTCATTAAGGAACCGACAGTGATTAAGGGCGTATATAATCTCTGGCCCCAAATTATTGGTCAATGGAAACAGGAAAACACGTTCCCGAAGAAAGTCGACGACGTGGTGGTTCTCTTGAACATATATCTCACCGACATATACCTAGCATACTTGTTTCCTGCCCCGGACGGTGATGGGATTTCGAAAAAACGACGCCGCACACGTGTGCTGACCCGTGAAGATGACGCTGCAGTTCGGAAGTTGATTCTTAATAAGATCGTGGACGTCCCCCTGGAGTGGCTAGAGTCGCTGGCGATTGTCTCGTCGTGCTCGCCGCCCCCTGTCCAGGCATATTACACCATCAACCTCACCGGAGACGGAAGACATGTAGATGTACGCATGATTTATAGCGCAATACTTGTCCTTTCAATGATCAAGTTTAGAGACTCGGAAGTAGGGCTAGGAGGCTCGTCTGTACTACCGGAGTACGGTGAGCTGCGACAGCTGGTTCGGTCTGTATTATCCTATGACCAGCGCAAAGGGTTATTGAATTTATTGTCCCTTTGTTACTGTCCAGTCCAGAAGTGCTTTACAGGCAGCCCTTTTGGTGAGCCCCACGCGGGATATGTTTTCTGTACGGCCTCGGCAACTGTGCTTTTGAGTGACGGTGTTTTGGACGCGGTGTCGTTCCTGGACCGGTCCGGTCCTGTGCCGTTCGGAAGAGGATGTGGCGGCGACGTTATCCGAGCTGGTGTGGAGGGTGGCGTGTGTTCATCGGCAAGAGGAGGTGACGCCTTTGTGTCTTCTCTGTGTCACCCCGAGTCGGTGCAGCAAAGGGCTCATAATACAAAGATCTGGCTTCGCAAGAGAGTGCCTGCTTGTAGGAGACTTTCTTCCGACACTGACGAGGAATTCCAGGACGTATTCCAAGACCAAAACTACGACGATTTGTGCAACGGGCGCCCAGGCAAACGCGGTGATGTGTGCTACTGCTTTTGGGTCTTGGCGGGGCTTCGGAGTTTGAAGTTATATGAAGAGGGGGAGGACGACGACGACGATATGGATTTCAACGACGAGGGAGATGAACGCAGTAGCTGCCCTGATGGTAGCTACACCGATGGTAGCCACACCGATGGTAGCCACACCGAAGGCGGCTACACCCAAGATAGAGACTCGACCTCCGCCAGAGATTCCGTCTTTGATAGCGACTCCGATAACGGACCGAAGCAAAAGGCTTACTGGGACCCTCCAGCCAACAATGATTTGTTAGTTCCTGATTGCTGGAACGAACCCGAGAACCGCCGACAACACCGCAGTCTTTCTACCGCTTGCGTTTCCAGCTGTTCCTACGCTTCTTCTGTGGTCACCATGCGCGAAGGACTGTTGCGGTGCCGCAACCCGCTGGATGGGAGCATGGCCAAGAACGCTGACTGTCTAGATAGCCCGGACATATTCCACACTTTTTTCGGCAATTTGGCGCTCAGCTTCAAAAACGTCCACCATCTCTTTGGTGCTCCCAAGATCTAGCTCGGCCTCGAGATCTTTCAAGAACTAGCTTTGCTCTTAAGATCTAGCCCTTACTGGCCGCTCTTTGGGACGGGTGCAACTATGACGGTACCTTTAGCGGAGCCGATGATCAGACGTTTGCCGTCCGAGGACTGCAAGGAAGAGATGACAACAGTATGTACGGTAAGTATGTACGGCAGGAAGAAAGGCTGGTAGGTAGTAGCGATGACAGGTCGGAAGGTGGTGGTGGCTTACGAAGACGACGTTGGTGAGCGCTCCGTTATCCATGGGGGTGGATAAGAGAGGGTTGTTCTGCCAGCGGGTGCCTTGGGCGATGTTCCAGAAGGAGAGATAGCCGCCAAGGTTGCAGCTGGCGAAGAGATTGGGGCTGGAGGGTGACCAGGCGACTCCGGTGGTGTAGGTAGTGGAGGGTTGATGTTCGAAGGTGAGAAGGGGGACCATTAGATTGTGGTTTAGATTTTTTTGCCAGAGAGTCATTGTCCAATAGAGGGAACCGGTAACGAGGAGGGGGCTGTTGGAGAAGCGTTGTACGTCGGAGCAGGTGAGGGCCTGGTCGCAGCCTGGATACTGACCAGGAATGCCGGTGGGTGTAGTGGCTAGCGGCCCGCTCCCTGAGCGGGTGAAGGAGCCGGTGGCGAGGCCCATGCTGTTGAGGGTTGAGGCGTCAAGAAAATCGCTGGCTTTATTTTCTTTGCCCGCGGTGTAGTCGTTCATGCTCTTGATGGGGCAAATGTACAGACTACCGTCGTCGCCGCCGCAATAGAGTTCCTCGACACCGTTGAAGCAAGCCGTAAGGAGTCCGAAGTAGCGCTGCACTGCGGGGGTCTTGAGAACCTTCTCCTTTTCAACCACGATGGAGGCACCGATCGCACACACCAGTAACTGGTGGATCTGGTCAATGCATATGAGCCGATGATCCTCTAGTCCCGAAACCTCAATAATGTGATGTAGCTTGGTACGTCGAGTCTGCATTGGCCGCACAGCCTCCCCACTACCGCCCACTGGCACACACCACATCATCAGACACCCGCTCGTTGTACCTGCAATCACCGTGTTCGGATCTTCGGGTAGCACACACATACATGATACTTCGGCGCTCGGTGATGCCAGTACGGCTTCTGGTCGTTTCGGTGAACCTAGGGCCCAACGCAGCACAACCGATTTGTATTCCGCCATCGGGTCGCCTTCCTTGGCGCCGTATGCGACGTAAAATTCCGAAGACTGCGGGATCGGCACAATGTCGACCACCGGGCGCAACGCAGTCAGCTTCAATTGGCTGTAGGTCATGAGACTGGACGAGAACCTCGCTGCCACGTCGCTAGCCTGACTCACACTGTTCAACACATTGAGGTCGCGGTAGATCCCCAAAATGCGGTCAGTATTCACTGACTTTTCGATGATCTTTACAGAACGTTCTGCGAAACTCCGCAACGCTGGATCCTTCTCCAAACGATCCGCAACCTGCTGCGCCTCTACCGCCTGAATTATATCCGACTCCGTCACCGTCACCGACTTGGTCTCATCCACGTTCAGACCATTGGCACCACTTGGCTCGTCATACTCAGTACGCTCCAAAATTCCACTGTTCCGACGAAGACTAACTTCAGCAACGGGGGACGGCAGCAGATCATCACCCGTCTGCACCGCCGCGTCCAGCTTCGGCTCCAACGGAACAATCGCACTCAACAGACCTCCGCTTTGCGGACTCGGACTCGCAGACACACTCGGTCGAGATGCAGGACTACCCAACTGCGAAGACGCACGTTGCTGGTTCAAACGTTCTCGCACGCTTGCCAACACCTCTTCTGATGTCAACACGGGACGTGTACGCACATACTGCAAGTCTTGCTGCGCTTTTAGACGAGCCAATTGGGCGGTCTTCTCCTCGAACTCTCTTTGCAGGCTCTGTAGACTTGGCTGATCTTGGGCCATTAAAAAGGTCTCTCCACCCGGCTGCCCCTGCGTGCCCAAACGAGTCACGTTCCCTCCGATTTCTCTTTGCTGGCCCTGAGCAGTCGCCGGATCTTGTGCCATAAAAAAGATCTCCCCACCCCTTTCAACTCCACGCGAACCACCAACCTCCGTGTTTAGATCTGCGATTCAGAATGCCCTCTTCTACTTAAGGAGTCAACAAAGTTTTTTTAAAGTGGGACGACCATGTGGACAGTTCCATGGGTGTTTAAGAAACCTCAAGTTGCCCACAATCCTAGACATCTTTTGATGTGATAATTGCTCTCCAAATTTAACCGCTGTTTTGCAAGCCTTCATTGCTAGTATATTCCAGATCCGAGGAGGTCGGGGTAAACCTCCAACCCTCTGGAATGTCCACATCTCTCTACAGGCTTCCTGAGAGGATTGGTCTAAGGGGGCGGTGGAAGCATCCAAGGAATCCAGCAGCTGCAAAAAGTCGTTCTTGTTCAACAACATGCCCTTAAAACACGGCACATGAGTTATCTCCACACCCGCATCCATCCGACGAAAACGAAAACCGTTCCGGTCGAACACATGCGCGCGTTCTAAATCATCGATTAGCTACAGAATGCCACCATCATTTTCCCATATGAATATCCTCCGTGTGTGCGACCTCCGTGTGGTGTGCGAATTACCGTTAATCGTTCAGGTGATAGGTTAATGACCACTGAGGTCAACAATGGTTGGCAGGTGAGATGTACGGCATCGTTCATGGTCTCAAACCAGTACTTCTCGTCAGCTGCATGTTGATCCACCAGAAAGAGCGAGCTTTGACACAAACAAACAATGAAGCTTCTTCGATAGGATCCGATGGGCACTAACATGCTCAAGAACTCGTTACGGCCGGCAGCAGGAGACACTACCGCCGAAAGTGAATGGTCCCACAGGCATCCGGAAGTTCCTTCGGCCGACTGGGATAAAAACTCCTCGCCTTTTATGTCGTCTTTTATGTTGCCTTTTGTACTGGTTGACAAGGGCCCCAACGATCTGTACTTGAGTCGGAGCGCTGCGACATCGTCCTCTGTCCAGTAAAGCTCGTCCCTGGCCGCCAAAGTGGCTGAGTCCCCGCTATCTCCGACGACTGACGTTTCTCGACTACTCAAAGGTACAACCGCATGTTGACTCCGGTCGAACTGTTGACTGCCGTCGAACTGTTGACTGCCGTCGAACTGTTGACTGCCGTCGAACTGGCGGTACCGAACGCTGACTTCGGCTGAAGCAGTTCCCAGTCCTATCATAGCTGCCGCCGGGACAGCTGCCGTTTGGACAGTTTCCGTTGGGGCAGCTGGTTCACCTGTCGATAAACCGCGCTTCCGGTTCGCCTGTAGTGGGGTCGACTCGATACTGGACGATTGAAGCGACGGAGGCTGGAACAAGGAGATCTTGAAACCGGGGGAGCAGATCTTGAAACCGGGGGAGCTCTCCACAATCGTCTCCGCAGCCGTCTCCACTGCCATCTCCATGGTCGACTGTGTAGCCGATTGCATAGCCGTCTTGTAACTAGAAGACGTGTTGCTCGGGGATGTCCGCGGCCCTGATGAGCTCTGTTCCTTGGGCTCCCCTTCCGGGGACTCACGGCCCTCGGACATGAGGATCTCTGATCCTCTCCTCAGCCCCGCTGACCCCCGCGGAGAGAACAAAGATGTTGCCGATCGTGGGACTGGGGATGTTTCTTTCTTCATAGCTGGAGACTCAAAATGCCTCGGCCGCCTTGCTTCCCCGACTGGCGAGGTCTCGCCTTTGAGCATAACGGTCAACTCCTTAATTCTTTCATCTGCAGATTCGGCCGTCGCTTCATCCACGCTTTCCCTGTGGTCTGGGGCTCCGATCTGGCCTGGGGTTCCAACTTGCTCTGGTGTTTCAAAAAGCGTTTCGATCTCAGTCTCAGTGTCAGCTGGGAGAAAGCTTGTGCACGCGGCTAACTCCGTCGACGAGTTGTTTGGAGCTTCGATCGGAGATGGCTGGTCTGTTAGAGGAAGCGGGGTTGAAGGGGCCTTTAAGGCCAACGACTGCATCGTTAGTGCTTTTGTTGCTAGGCTTATAGGTACTGACTGGGAAGCCAAGACGTTACCAAGGACGGAGATGGCGGTTTCCTCTAGTTGTTTAGCCAAAGACTTTTCGAAGGGCAGGAGTACTTTCCTCTTGTTGACCGACATGTTGACGTCGATTTCCCGTTCAGTCTCGAGGAACATGATGAGTCCTGTGCAGTTCTTGGAGGTGTATCGTCTGTATACTGAGTCCAGGCGTTTCATGACAAGTTGCGGTACAGTGACCGGTCGGCGATTTACACTAAGTAGTAGCATCCGGTTTCCAGCGGTGCGACTTCGGTACCCTCCTTCGATCTTCTGACTGCCGCCGTAGCCCAGTCGATTGGCCAGTGAGTGGCCCCCCACGGCCACAGTTCCCGCCTCCAATGGATGAGCAAGGTAGCCTGCTCCTCGGAACGCACCCTCCGAGTCCGCCAGCGCAAAGCCGACGTAGCTCTGCTCCACGTAACTTCGGTCACGACCCAGAATCCGACCCACGACGTCCAACACTGAGGCACAACCATACGTCTCGAATACCAGATGCACCGCCTCGTCTCCTTTTTGCCGAGTCACTCGAAACTGCACAGTCAACTCGGTCACGGCCGCCTCGGCCGCGGTCGACTCTGCCACGGCTGGCTCAGCAAGGGTTGACTCGGCCACGGCCGAGTCGGCCACGGCCGAGTCGGCCCCGGCCGAGTCGGTGTTAAGGAGTGCGAGCACTGGCAGTTCGGACTCCGTCGGTATAGTCGGAACGGCTGCAATGATGGCATATTCGTAAATTAGTTTCATGATTGCCGACATCTGCTTTGCTCCTTCAGATAGCATGGCCTTTCTACGCACATGGTGGCGGTAAAAGATGTCGCGCACCCGGATCTCCGTTCCAAAGCTGCCGGCAGGTTCGACCACCGTGGGCAGATCGGTCTCCTTGTATTCACGTTCGATACCTCCTGTCATCACAATACGGCTTTCGCGCCGCGTTCCTGTCCTTGTTTTGAACCGCGTCATTACCGTCACTTGACCGCACAATTGAACAATCGACGCCAACGCCTCTCCTCTGAACCCCAGGTGCTTCACACGACCTGTTAGCAACGTTTCCGCACTATCCAATTTGCTCGTCGTGTAACTCTCCACTGCCTTCCGCAAGTCATTGATACCACATCCGTCATCCCGGATATCCAATCCCCCCGTACCCGAATCAATCAAGTTCAAATCTACATCACAACACATGGCACCTCGACCAGCAAGCAAGTCGCTACCAGCAAGCAAGTCGCTACCAGCAAGTAAGTCGCTACCAGCAAGCAAGTCGTTACCAGCAAGTAAGTCGCTACCAGCAAGCAAGTCGCTGCCAGCAAGCAAGTCACTGCCAGCAAGCTACACATGCACACACTTACATATGTTCTTCGACCCCGCATCGATACTGTTCTCGATCAGTTCTTTGATAATGGATCGCAAATCAGGGATTGCCTGTTCCGCATCTAATAGTTGAGTTGTCATTGCACAAAAAAAACCGACCTTGAAACTCAGCCTGGACCTCCTCTCATCGTCAGCGGCAAGACCTGATATCTCGAATATTTAATCTCCCCTCTTTCAGCCCCAGCGGGGCCTCCGTCTTGCACAAAGTCATCTAAAACGACGTTCTTCCCTGCTGGGGTTCTCTCCCCCTTCTCAAATTCTCTCTTTCTTCTGAAGTTCTCGCATCTTTGGTTCTCTCCCCGTCGTTCTGCTCGTGACCGTGGTACGATCATGGTTCCGTGCTCTGATGTTGCTCCTGCGCGGCATGTTCGAGCATATCCTCGGTTATGCTAGGCTCCAAGTGATTGTTCAACGCCATCATTCGTCCGGCGGATTTGAGTAGAAGGTTGCAGTCCCATTTTTCGAAGACAGCTTCAACGAAGGTCATATGGTCATTTTCGGTCTTGGCGTATTCTAAGGCCTTGTCTAGTTGCTCGATGGTTTCGCACTTGAAACAGGCTTTTTCGGGCAGACCGAAGACTTGAGGCAATAGTGCATATTTCCACATTTGAATATCATTGTAGGAGTTGTCGGTGATGACTCGTTCAATTAAATAGCCGTCGTTGTTCACTAGAATCACCAGGGGATTGCAGCCGAACCGGACCATACTGGAAACCTCCTGACAGGTGAGCTGGAAAGAACCGTCTCCTACAACCAGCAGGACGCGACGGCCCTTACCTTCTCGCTTTAGGGCCAGGGACGCACCGAAACAGGCACCCACTGTGTAGCCAATGGACCCGTAAAAGGTCTGACCAAAATACATGCAACCGTGAGGGAGCATAGTCTCCGCGGTGGCGAACATGGAGGCGCCGGTCTCTGCAATTACCACCATGTCGCTCTGCAGGTACTGAGCGAACTTTTTAAAGACCTTCTTCATGCTCAACTTTTCATTCGGTGAATAACGGGTAGGAGAGTCTGCCCTATTCACACAACTGTGCATGGCCCTCGGGAAGTCGTAGGGGTACTCGGTGCGTTCCGGCAACCTCTCTAGCAAGCCGGCGAGTACGTCCTTAAAGTAAATTCCGGTGTAGCCATGGCTGCCGATCCTGACGTTGTCGTAGTTGATCAAAACGCGATTCCTGTCATTAAAGCCTTGTGTGAAGCCACCGGTGTTCAGGTCAGTGAGCTTCTCCCCGAAGATGATAACGCAATCACTAGCGGCTACGGACTCTTTGATTTCAGGACGAGAACGATGCCCCATGTACAAACCCATAAAGTTCGGATGGTCCTCTCCAAGGATTCCTTTGCCAAGTAACATGGTCACGTAGGGGATCTTCGTCTTGTTCGTAATCTTCTCAAACAAGGACTGGTAGCTGCGTCGAATCAACTCGACACCTGGAATAAAGAGTGGATGCTTAGACTTCTCCACCCGCGCAACAATCTCGTCCACCGCCTCCTCTAGCGCGCTAGGGTCGCTAACAGGCTCCTTCGGCGCCATCCACTCAACCAGATCCTCGTCCACATCGATCTCTTCATCCACCATGTCGCTCGGCACCGCTATATAGACCGGCTGCTTAAACAATAAACAATGCTTCACAACACGATCTATGGCCTTGGCAGCAGTTCGGTGATCATTGAGGATCGCCTGATCCACGGTCACGCGCTCATAAATGTGGTAAGGGGTCATGTAGTCCCCCAATGTATGGTGCAACAAGGGCCGTTGACGGTAATGCTCACGGGCTGGAGCGCCTGTGATTTTGATCACCGGCACGCATTCCGCATAAGCACCCGCAATACCGTTCAAGGCAGAGAGCTCTCCCACAGCATAGGTTGTCACACAAGCCGACAAACCCGTAATGCGTGCGCAACCATCGGCCGCATAAGCAGCATTCAACTCGTTGCAACAGCCAACGTACTCCACTGGAGACTCCATCACCCGGTTCAAGAACCCTAGATTAAAATCGCCAGGCACACCAAACATCTGGTGGCAGCCAGCATCGTAGATTCTCTTACACAAGAAATCTGCCAATCGAACCCGTATGGTCATCTTTGTTAAAAATATTAGGGCGCGATTTCTTTGGCGCGCGCGTGTGCACACGCGCGCGCCAAATAATAATCCGGATCCGCATTGGGACTACTCCGGGGCCAGGCCGCATTGGGACTACTCCGGGACCAGGCCGCATTGGGACCGAGATCCACATCTGTTAGGGGATTAATTCTGAGCCTCTTTGCTAGTCCTCTTTGAATGAAACCTGTTTAGTATGCGCTTCTCGCAGGATACCAGTGACCCAGAAGTAGCAGAGGCACCACATCAAGGTTAGATCTCTTGCCCATCTGAATGGTCTGTGCATGAGGTCTTTGAAGAGGATAAGGAATCCATGAGTGCCGATGGCGTATCCGAGAGCGTTGGATAGCATACAGAGCTGGACAAGTGTGTTGGTCGCGCATGCGAAGATCAGAGCGGTGACAAAGTGTTTGCTGGGAAGAGGCAAAGGTCTCTGCTTGTAGGACATGCCATAGAGCTTCTCGACGGCGAATTCCAAAATGGCAGCTGCACTCACAACCGCTGCCCAGACGGAATAACTGAGGTTTGCCTGGTGCCACATGCCGACGAAGAAGTAGACAAGGATGGTGGATAGCCAGCGAGACCACTTGCTGTTCCGTAGGGGCTGGTAAATGTAGCGTCTCAGCCAGAGATGGTAGCTGAGATGCCAGGAACGCCAGAAGTCCTGCATGCTGACGTGGTTGAATAGGAACTTTGGCAGGTTGTCCGGAGTGTAGATCCCGCAGGCCAGTGACCAGATTCGGAATGTGCCCCAGATAACTTTGAATTTGAGCCAGAGATAGATAAGTGCAGACAAGACTCCCAACATGATCTCGAACGGATTGAGCATGGCCCACATGAACTTGAATGCTTTGTAGCAGTCACGACTAGTACCGTATGCACCGAAGAAGATGGATACCATCATGCACCGGGCAAAGACGAATTCAGTGATCGCAAAGAGCACCGCCACTTCCACAATTTTCTTCACTTGCTGGAACCAGGAAGGCCTGTACGGCACTTGCAGATGGTGAATGAAGGATTGGAAACTCACGATCGGTCCGCAGATGTATAGCGGCGCGAAGAGAGTGTACGCCAGATAGTTCACCAGCGTGAAGTGGCGTTCCTCTGCCGGCCGCTGAGCCAACTGGTCGTACAGCTGGCGCTGACTAGGCGAGATCGCGCCACACTCCTCCCTGGTCTCGCATCCAGCCAACGGTTCTAGCCCGCGGTCTCGGTGGAACCTGTTAGTGAAGCGATGTCCCCCGTGGCGTTCCCCATGAGGTTCTCTGTCATGTAGGGCGTGATGTTCGCCACGATGCTCCCCGTGATACTCGGTGTCGTGGAGTCCGTGATGGTGCCGGTTCTGTTTCACTGCCCAGTGGTGGTCCATGTTGAAGGAGACGCATTTGAGGACAAGAATGGGCAGCAGTTTGTTGAGAGGGTACCTACCCAGGTGGAGCGAGAACCAGCTGCAATAGCAAAGGACCGCGACGGTCAGAGCCCAGCTGGTAAGGGGTACGAGCCAGCGCAGGATGCGTACGCGTGTGAGGCGGGAGAGGACGAAGTAGGCGGCGAGCACAGCGCAGACGATGGCGGAGTCGATGATGCCGTGACAGATGAAGACCACGCCGGCTCCGAAGAGGGCCTGAAAGAGTGCCCGCAGAGCGAGGCCCAAGTGGGGGCGAGGACTGACGGCTACGAGGACGTCCGCGCTGGGTTCTGTAACCTCGGCCGCGCGGCGGCGGAAGTGCGGGGAGAGGCTACGGTGCCAGGCGCGCCGTTCTTTCGGATCTTCGACCGCACTCGTGTGCACGTAGTCGCTCAGGTGGCCGGGGTGCCCCAGATGGTGGTGGCCCAGGTGGTGTTGGCCAGGGGTGTGAGTGAAGAAGGTGACGCAGTTAGTGAGAAACGTGTGGATGAGAGCGAGGGCAAGCGTGAGTGGCATGAGTTGTTTCCAGAGGTGCCATTGTGTGTCGCTGTCATCGTGTACTTTGTGGAAGAGGTCGAGGTGGTGGATGCTGAGTTTTGGTAGGTCGGTAAGTTTGATACTAGGGTGGAGGCGGAATGAGGGGTGGAGAAGACGGTCGAGGAGTTTCCATGGCAGGCCGATGGGGTTAATGACGAGGGTTACCCACTTGACGACCATGTCCCAAGGTAAGTGTTTGAGCACGATGTACTGGATGCGAACACACATCCAGGTGCAGGCTGCGACCAGGATGACCCAGGCGAGGGCCCGCTGCAGTCCGAGCGGGAGGCAGCTGAGGTAGGCGCAGCTGCTACGGGAGAAGGAGGAAGAGCGACGCGGTGGGTCTTCCTCGCCGGCCGAGGGCTCTTCCGGGCGCGGTCGCCAGAGGTGCGGTTTGGTCTCCACGTGGCCATGGTTTCGGCCGTGGCCACGGGCGGGCGAGTCCTCGTCGGAGTCGAGGTCGTCGCGGAAACGGAGACCGTGGCGGCTGGCAGAGTGCAGCAACCCTGAGTCAATGGCGGCTTCCGTCGCTAGCCGACCGCGCCAGTGCCGTGGACAGTCGCCAAGACAGCCGCAGTTCCAACGCCGCTCCCAATGGTGCGCCTCATTGTCACAAAACCCGCATTTCAGACACCGGCGGATCGGCTTGATCTCGAATCGCGGCGAACAACACGGCGGCCGCTCCGCCGTCTCCGACCGCGTCGGCCGCAACTCCTCGTGCCGCGCGTCCCAGTACCGCCGCACGCGGCTCCACAGATTCTCCTCCAGTGCTTTCGTACCCGGCATGTCCCAAAAAACCAGAACACATTCACGGCCCCCACCACACGAGCTGGACGCTGCCGGGCGGTCGAATTTGGTCGAGTCGGACCTAGCCGGGTCGGACTTGGTGAGGGGAGAATCGGGCTTGGCGTCGGCGGCGAGGAAACTGTGGGTGCTGTTGTGGGTGCGGACGCGGGCCGCGCGAGAGAGAAGAGGTGACCGACCTCGTTGCTCTGTGCTGGCCATTGGGTGCTGCCGACAGACGCGGACACGCGAGAACTGGGTCGTCATGGGGGAGGGGAAGAGGGTCGTGAGAGAGGAGGTGGGGAAGAGGGTCGTGAGAGAGGAGGTGGGGAAGAGGGTCGTGAGAGAGGAGGAGTTGTTGGTCGGGAGGCGGGGGACCGGACGGCGAAAAATAATGGAGACAGAATCTTCGGAGCCGTTGCTGAAGCGAATGGAGGAGGCACCTTTGGAGCACCCGTTGAACCTGGCGCAGCGACCGAAGCAGAATGTGGTCATCCGGCTCATCGTGTCCCTCTTCCTTTGGGTCACGATTCCGTTTGGCGTTCTTGGCGCCATCACTGGCCAGGTGCTATCGCTAGTCCTATTGTGGCCAGTATTCTGGTTCAGGCCAGCGCTGAAGGTGTGGTTTCTCGGCTGGATTCTCCGATTTAGCGTAACGTGCTGTAAGCCCCCCCCCGGTGGTCCACTTTTGTGTGTGCAGCGTCGTTTTTCTTTAACCCGTTTTGGCGGTTGAAGAGGGTGCGATTGGTCCGCGGGGACTACCGGCCGCATGGACGTACTTTGGTGATGTGTAATCACTTGACTCAGGCGGACCCGTGGATCTTTTCGCGGGGTTTGTGGCCGTGGGAATTCAAGTGGGTGTACAAAGCGGACTTGTTGCGGATTCCGGTTGTGGGTCAGATTTTGAGGATGTCCCATGACATTCCGCTCAAGTTCACCCGAGACAAAGGAGGCTGGGGAACGGAGCGGGGACAGGTGAAGGTGATGATGGATACGGTGTACGAAATGGGCACGGTTTATGACATCGGCACGGTCGTGTTTCCTGAGGGCACACGTTCCAAAACCGGGCGCCTACAACCCTTTAAAGACGGCTTCTTCAAGTTTGCTGTCGAACATGACTGGGAAATCCTACCCTGTGTCGCACATAACTCCCAAACTTTATGGCCACTCAGCAGCACCCTCTTCGGCTGCGGCACCGTCTACTTCAGCGTCGGAGATGTCATCAAACCAGAGCCTGGCGAATCCTTCGAATCACTTAAATACAGAACCCGAGAAGCCATGGCCCAACTCGTTCGAGAAATGCCTCTATTCAACCCTGAGGTAGCCCCTCCCTGCCCTCCCCTCCTCTCTTCACTGTTCTTCATCAGTAACCCCAATCCCACCCTTCACGGTCGCTCTCTCAATCGCTACTGTTGCTGTTCTTTTTGCAGACTGATGATCCCATGGCGCATGATGCTGATGTCCTTGAAAGAGGTCAAGGCATTCTGGCTCGTTAGACCGGGTCGTTAGACCGGGTCGGTAGACCGGGTCGTTAGACGAGCACGGCCTGTGCTCGCGGAGCACGGAACGTGCAGTCGTCAGAGTGTGCACTCGTGAAGCTGACACTATCATGTTGCGCATCCTGTAAGGATTCGCAGGGCATGAGACAGAGGGCATGAGACAGAGAAACGAGATAAAGGGAGGAGACGGAGGGACGACATAGACAAACGAGACGGAGGTACAGATCAGGAGATGGGAAGGTGTATTGTGACAGATAACAGGGATCCTAGTCGAATGTGGCTGGCTAATCGAAAGGAAGGTGGGTCGCGGCCGGTCAGAAACCGAGGGCGGTAGCTGGTCGGCCTTTAGGGCGCCCTTGGGAGTGAGGGCGGCTAAAGCACGCTTGACGAGGGCCGTGTTTGTTCTCTGATGGGAGCGGTCAGTCGCAGGGATATTAGCCAGCTAACGAAGTCCTCGAAAGTTCGGAATTTGGTGGTCGTTTCCTTCGCATTGGCGAAGACTTTTCGTTGCAGTTCTGACGGAGCTCCGAGCAACAGGTCTAGGAACCGTCCATCAACCCACTCAACGTTTCGGCGGTGATTTACTTCTGAAAGAAAGGGACAAAATTGGAGTTGGGAAAATTGACGGCGGGAAACGAGGCATGTACGAACGTTTGCTAGTGCTGGGGGGTGGGAGTGTGCTCTAGGGTGGGAGTGTGCTCTAGGGTGGGAGTGTGCTCTAGGGTGGGAGTGTGCGCTAGGGTGGGAGTGTGAGCTAGGGTAAATGACCGGGGCGTTGCTTACTTGTCATTCTATATGTCGAGTGTTCAGTTTCCTTAAGGGTGGTAAAGAGACCTGGGTCGCGTATGGGTAGGACGACCCCAACATTCCCTTCAATGTCTAACCAGTGCGTACAAGCCTGTAGGGGGTCTATGGAGGGTATGGCATGCCGGGTCGCCTTCATTCGGTTGATTTGTGTATCCAGATGGAAGGGTGAGGAGGACTGAAGTCTGTGAGTGACTTTGTCCTTGACGACTTGGTGAACAGTTAGGGCGTTGTGTCTAGCAGCAATGAAGCAGTCATCATTCAGTCTACTGAGTGTCTGCACCCCCTCTCTTTCAAGACGATCTCGAACAGTTAATTCTCGTAGTAAAGATGACGGTCTCAACTCCAATACCGTACAAGAATGGTACAATGTAGCGAGTGCATAACGCATGGGAGACAAATAGACAATATCGGTGATTGTACTATGGACCCATACAGCCCCCACACACGTCAACGTCACAGTCGCCCGGCCCATTTGATCTGCGATGCTACTGGGTTGGCCCTGGTCAGCTGGAACGTGATAATTCTCCTCCGATGCCACCAGGTGTTCATCTTCTCCAGAACCCATTAGAACCGCATATTCATACATGCTTAGTGAGTCGCCATGACCAAGAACTAGCACATGCTCACTGACGACTATGCCGCAGCTTACTTCACAATTCTCTCCGAGGGCCTTTGTACCCAGAATCTCAAGTCGGTATCCATGGCCAAAAGAAGTTTTAGCAGTTGGAACCGAGATTGAATTTACCGACATTGATTCTACCGACATTAGGTCTTCTGGTCCGGGATCCGAACTGATGCGGACGGCGTATAGCCGTCCTTGGTGACAGCCGCGCTTGGTACATAAGAACCAAATCTCGTCAACGCTGCCAGGATAGGGGGGCATAATGCAAGTCACTATCTCAGTGGGGTCGAAAATATGAAGCGTCTCAGAACGCCCTGTACGCGGGTTCATCAGACCCAAGCAGCTGTTACAGTCAGGTAGGAAACGCTTTACGACCTCGCCCACACCTGGTTGATCACCCACCTGTGGTTGCCCGTCCACGTGTGACTGGCCACCCGCGTGGTCCTCCTTCAATGCCATGGTTCTCCCGAGTTCGGAAGCTAGTTCGTAACTGAACTCGTCATCGTACTGCATAGAGGGTACGGTGGAGAACATCAACTGGTCATGAAACTCTTCCACCTGAGCTACGCAGTGGCCGGTCAGCAGTGGTAGGCACTGACTCTCCTGGGGGTTGACCTTGAGCACGCCCGCTCGGAGCTCATTCTGGTCAGTCAGCCATATCACCATTCCCTTTGTGTGTACCATCGCTCGAATGCTGCTTAACGCCCGAGCATCGGCTACGGCCAACTTGCCAAGCTCAACCGTGTAGGTTCCAGACAAACATCGCACCAGCCACAACTCCTCCGCCAAAGCCACCACCTGAGCCACCCGGTCATAACCGCCGCTGCTTAGTCGATACATCTTCTCCACGGCCGAACACGAACTAGTCAAAACGGAACTACCCCAGGGCTCCGAACTGCCAGGCTTCGCCCCGCCAGGTTCAGGACTCCTCGGCTCCGAACCACCAGGCTCCGAACCACCAGGCTCCGAACCGCCAGGCTCCGAACCGCCAGGTTCAGGAGTCATTAGACCATTGGAGCCTGGCGGCCGGAAGGAAGGACCGGCTGGCCCGTCCGGCTTTGCGAAACGATACACGCTACCCCGCTCGGTCACTAGGAATATGGCGGTGGCCACCTTGATGGCCACAGGTCTTTCCGAGAGACTAACTACGGCCGTCAACGCAGACGCTTTAACCTCCTTAGTCTGGTGGTCCACACTTGGGTTGTCTACACTGGGATTGGGGATGTCCACGTACTCCACGACCGACCATCTGTGACCGGTCTCGCGCACAAACCATATTCGACGATCGTCCTCAATTGTGACCAAGCTCACCCCCTGAAGATCACGGAACTGCGCGACAAGCCGCCCATCTAATGCCACAGCCGCCACTGTCCCTTCGAAGTAACATATTACCACGAAGTTGCGACAAATGGCAGCCGATAATACTTCCGTCTGCAGTTGATAAACTGGTGCGTGCTCGTGGCCCCGGGAGGTGAGATCGTCGTCAAAGCCTGTTGGACGGCCAATATCTACGACCCGGACATGGCGACTTGTAACTTGAATGAGTTTGCGTTGCTGAGGATCGTTGTTGTCCGACGGATCAAGCATAGAGCAGGCGATAGTAGGATTCACATAATCCAAGTGGGGAAGCGAACATGAAATAAAGCGTTTGCCATCTACGGTGTAATATGTGGCGGTTGAATTGGGGGCTGGGGCGCCGTCTGGCGTTGAACTGATGTGGTCAACAGCCGAGTGCTCAGGAGCCGAATGCCCAAGATCCGAGTGCTCGGATGCCATCATGGTTGAACCAATGGGAGCGGAACCAATGGGAGCGGAGGAGAGGAGTATAATGTCGTGAGAGTCGTCCCATTTGATTGAAAAGAGACGGTCATAGAACCACGGTCCAAGGTGAAGCCCTTTGGAAATGAGCAGTGCTGAGTTGGATAGATGACAGAGTCCTCCCCGTTTGCCTAGACCGCCTGCAATGATGAATGAGGGTCCTACGGTTACAAAGTCTAGAGCAGGCATAACCTGTTGCGTGACGTAACGAATGGTGCATTTGATAGAGGTGGGCATCCGTGAAGGTGTCGTGAATTGTAGCAAAGCCATTCCGTGTGATTTGGATCCGGCAGCTACGATGATGAGGGTTTTGTCTTGATAGTTAGCGCGTGTCAATACGCATAAGGATTCCGCATAGAATCGGGTTCCAGGAATAACTTGGAGATTTTCTTGGCCTTCGACGATTCTGGAATACACAAGCAAATATTCGGAGTCAGTTACAAAGACATACGGCCCACCGGTTCCAGAAATACTCAAGTCCAAACTGGCCTCAATGGTGCTGGTTATAAGGATCTTAGGTACCGGTAAGCTTAATTTCCTTTCATGGTCATAAAAGTTTGCTCCATCTATATAAAATTGATTGTCCCATAAGTACTCAGCTATTCCATCAATCTGATACGATTCATCATCGCCTAACCATACCTGTACTGAGCCCAGCACGGTGTGTCCAACCAGACAGTATTCATGTCTAGGCCTTTTGATGTCTACAATGCCAGGTCTTGGAAACATTGCCGAATGTGGAGCGAAACTTAGTGAAGTAATATTTTGACTAGCTATGCGTACTGAAGTGCTCACAAAATTCCAACCTTTCACATACAAGATATCCACCACACTCAATCCGAAACACGCTGCGATCTTGTCCTCGCATATGGTGACTCTTGTCATGGGATTCGATTGAATTATTTCAACATCATTGCTTCGAGTTCTTGACGTATCTCTTATATAACTTGCACGAGAAACTAGCTTTATCCTCCCTTCACATGTCACGCAGTATATCTCAAAGCTATAGTCCGATCTCTGGACTAGAATACCTTGTGAAACACTTGGGGGAATTCGACCCTCCCGAACACGATCGAATCCTGACTGAATAGAAAAACCCGACAGCGATGACGACGACGACGACCCGAGGAGGAGGTTGTTCGAAACACCTGCCTGACCTGGAGCCGTACTTCGCCGCGGGAAACTCCAAATCCAATGCACGTCTCCAATCGGTATATGTTTTATTAACTCCACACTCCCTTGCACGCTGCTAAGATCAGGACCGGCATCAGGACTAGGACCGGCATCAGGACTAGGACCGGCATCAGGACAAGGACCGGCATCAGGACAAGGACCAGCATCAACCGCAGGACCAGCGTCGGGCGCAGGACCAGCGTCAAGCGCGGGACCAGCGTTGGGCGCAGGACCGGCGCTGAGACTAGGATCACGACCGTCATATTGTCCTATACAAAGCCCGTCTGCCGATCCCCACACGAGAAGGCGACCGTAGAGCCACGCAATTCCCCTACAAGACCATCTTGATCCAATTATTCGGTCAACCCAATACCCTTAAATTAGAGACGAATTCTACCACCATCAGTACCACTATTACCTGTCATCTGTGCGGCCACGCCCCCATCGTCCTTCATAGCGGATTTACTACAGCGAAAATTCACCGCGTCGTGTTTCGGCAACAACCTACTTCATTCCTGGCTCTCCTGCAAGTCTTTAACCCTGTCTCTCTGACCCTGTCCCTGTCCCTGTCCCTCGCCGTTGTCAAAAGATTTCGCAAATGAATAACTTGCCATGGATACTTAGGCTGCCTGACCACGTAGCACAAACTATGTGCAAACCTTCGAGCAATTACCCATACGCAATGAGACAGGTGTACAAGGCCAAGCAGGCTTGGCCAGCCGCGCGAGTTACCACCATGCGGAGCCAAATTCCCTCGGAAACCCGTGTGTGCATTCGCGGCCGATCGTGGCTAAAAAAAATAATATGAAGGGCTTTCGAAGTCAGTGCGGTCACGGACACTCACTAGAGCGCGCCCTGGTCATCGCAGGATGCGCTGTCACAAGCAGCGGATCACAGTTCCCTCTGCCTGAAGGCGAAGCCGCTTTGGAGGGCATACCTTCTGATCCCTTGGAGGTGGGGCAAAAGGTAGCCATCTCCACGGCCCAGAAAATTGCGCTCGCCGCTGGCGCCGCTGCCGGCGACGAGACCCCGGCCGTCCCCCCTCCGGCGATAGTGGTTCGTATGCCCAATACCCTCCAGATGCCCGGGGCACAGCCTCAGGGCATTCAGGCTCAAGGAAGTCCGGCCCAAGGAATTCAAAATCACGGAGGTGTCCATACTCACGGACGGGTCCATAATCACGAAACAATGCATACCCTCGGAGGTATCCAGACTCACGGAGGAGGCCATACTTGCGGAGGCCAGGCTCAGAGGTTCACGCCGATGCCGTCTGGCACGTGTATGGTGGCCCAGCGTGGAGCGACGGTGCAGCCTAGCGCGAAAGTCCAGCCTGGAGCGATAGTCCAGCCTGGCGGGAAATGGTTCCCTTACTTTGGCGTCCAAGACACGAAGGCGGTAGGTGGGAAGGCGGTGGTCGTTCAAGAACGTCCTCGGCAGCGGGGTGCTGCTGGTAGCGTGCTTTCGCTTCGTGAGGTTCTGGCCTGCGCCACTCGAGCGACCATTACCGATTTGGTGAAGAGCCGGCAGCTTACTGTAAATCTCGTCGACCGCTATCTTAAGCGGGTTCCTCGATGGACAAAGAGGCTACTGGTAGTTAGAAAGCGTGTTTTGAGAGAGCTCGAAGCACTCGCTCAAAAGCCAACAACGCACCAAACCCCGGGACAGTCGTCTGGACGGGCCTGGCCTGTCGGCGGATTTGGTGGATTTGGCCAACGTAGCATTTTTGGTGGTACTGGAAGCGGCTTTGGCGGAGGCAGTTTCTTCGGTGGAGGGGGCTACGGTGGAGGCGCACCGAGCGCAATGCTCACTGTGGGCGAGGACCCAGAACTCCAGGCCGATAAATCGGTCAGTGAGCCGGCGAGCGCAGGACTGCAAAACGTGGAAGACAAAGCCCCCGAAGGTATCAAAAAGTCACCCAGTGGACGGTTCCTCGAACAGAAGTCGGACCCTGCGGGGGCTGATCTTGACCTTGAGGAGAAGCGTCTTGACCTTGAGGAGAAGCGTCTTGACCTTGAGGAGAAGCATCTTGACCTTGAGGAGAAGCATCCCGACCCTGAGGAGAAGCATCTTGACCCTGAGGAGAAGCATCTTGACCCAAAGGAGACGAATACGGAGGGGCCGGGTGCCCAGGCCGGTCCGACCGAACTTTCCAGTTATGAGGAAGCACTTTCGGCATGTCCTCTGGCCCCTAAAGAGCTGGAGGATCTTCGTAAGTGTGCGGCTCATACACTGGTGGTTACTGAGCGGCTGCTGGAAGAAGCGGGACTTAAGCCGGTGGAGATGCCCAGTCCAGCTGAGCTAGAAAGCATGATGACCACCGTGTTGAAGCTGGCTTGTCCTGACTTATTGGACAATTACGGGGACGTGGATATCTGGGGTGCCATGATTCCCGCAATAGTAACTGCGTGGCGGGAGACCTTGGTTGAATCCGCGGATGTCGAAGCGAGGATGAAAATATTTGATGATAAGTGGAGCTCGTTCACTTTCGAGTTTCAGGACGGCAGCCCTGCCTTTTCGCGCATCCGACACAGGTCGAAGATTGTCCCTTCGGTTGCAATAAAACAAAAGGAAGAGTCTGCTGACATGGCCAGCGGTAAAGAGGAGAAGGCCCCATTCGTACTTTCGACTTACGAGCAAGAACTCGGAGGATGCCGCATAACCCCACAGGATCCTCAGCAACTTCGCGACTTCGCAAACAGAGTGGTGGACGTCACTTACGGACTTCTGAAAGACGTGCTTGTGGAAGACGGCGGAGTGGAGATGCCCAGTCGAGGTGAGGTAGAAATCATGATGACCACGATACTGAAGCAGGCCGGCGACAATTTCAAAAACAACTTTGGCCGTGACGAAATCGTGAAGGACATGGTTTCGGTAATGGCAAGCGTCTGGCTGGAGATCTCCGAGGAGTTGGCGTCTCAACCGATGGATGCAGCGGACCTGAAAGAGCGGAAGATGGAAATGTTTGGTCAGAAGTGGATGTTGGTTGCTTTTCAGCCGACGATGGATGGGCCACAGTTTGTGCAAGTCGTACCCACTTCGGGAGCGGCGCCGATGACCCACGGGGAGACTACCACTCCTGTTGTGGTTGTCAATGAGATGAGTAACGAGGTGGACGACACGAGTGGGGAAACACCTAAGGTCTTTGCCATGACGAGTAGTAAAGTAGCGGACGAGGAGGTGGATGGGAACATTGATGGTAAGAAGACAAATGATCCCGCCGTCGAGAACAACTGGGAAGAGCAGTATGAGAGTTTCTTGAAATCCACGGATCCGACGGCGGAAACCTTCGGTCAACCCTTGGCGGATGGCTGGCGGCGGCACAGTGAAGCGGTTGGTGACGAGTATCGTGTGGTGGACCGGATTTGTTTGCGAGACTTGATTGCGCAGATGAAGGTGAGCAGAACAATGGGCCTGGCGGAGGAGCCCGCTCACCAGGCGCCGGAGGAGGCCGCGAAGGAGCAGGCCACCAGATGGTGGCCGGCCGGTGACCTGGACCGGTTGGTGGTCCTTTTAGAAGCGATGGTGCCGGCTGGTGAGGAAGTGATAGTCCGTCGGGAATTCGTGTGCGGTACGAGTTCGTTGGAATACGTGGTGGATGCTGAACCCAGTTGGCTTGAACCGGTGGTCTTGGACTCATCGCAGTTCCACCACGTGGAGGCGGCGGCGCGTCTGGCGGAGTTACCCTCAGAGGAGTTGTTTGGATGCATAACGAACATTGTGTGCTGGCACCTGGAACAGTCATTGGTATGGAAGACGGCGGTAGAGCAGGGGCGGATTCTGGCTAGCGAAGTTAGCATTTGGAGAGATCTGTACATGTCATTCTGGGACGACGATCGTGAAGGCAGCGAACTGCCTTTGACGGCTGCCCAAAAATTCACCGTGCTCGAACAGTGTGTGCGAAGCGTTACCGGCGTCAAAACAGGCATGGTCTCACTGCAGGCCGTCGAACCTAACGGCCAACAATTGTACAGCACCAAACTCCGACTTGGAAGAGGCCTTTGGTCCGACGTGGCCAAGACGTACGTCAACAAGATACGGCGCGAACAGCCCCCACGCGGCACCCAGGAGCTCCCCTACGACCTCAACGAAATCTTCGACGCCTGCTTCCAAAAATGGAAAGCCGACGCCCGTATCTCCTTATCCCCTTTCAAACGCTGTGCAGACATGTACGGCAGCAAGTTCAGCTCTATATGCTAGGACACATGCAAGCTTGCTACCACATAGTCCAAAACAGAGGTTTAAGCCCAAGCGGTTCAAGCCCAAGACACGAGGGCGCTTTTTCCGATTACATGTCTTCAACTGTTTTGTGTTGGCTGCTCACTTCCGCTCAATTTTTGCAGGCAAATTATGCGGGGAATAACTGTTGTTCACTGCGGGCATGGACAAGAGCCAGTGCCCTGCTGGCTGGCATTATGCCCCGTTTCAGACTCGCCGCTGTGCCCCTACCAGACCTGGGGCGCAAAGTTCGGGGTGTGCCAACCGAGCCTGGTGATGCACGCCCCCAGTCAAGTGGTCCACGACATGTCGTGGATCTTTCCCGGTCTGGAGCAGAAGCAAACCTCGAGACTCAGCAGAAGGCCACGACATATTAGGAGGCCACGAAAAATTGGGCTTCTGTCTCGACTCCTCAAGTACACGAATATGCGAGACATAACCAAGCCTGTTCTAAATAGCCACCTCACTGTCGAGTTGGTTTGCAGCGGCCTCAAAGCTTTTCCGAAGCACCGAGCTGCGCTGTCTGCCCTCCGGAAACGTATCGAGACCATACTCGACCGCACGAAGAGGGCTTCGAGTCTCCCAGGCAGCGTTTCGCTGGCAACCTCCGGCTTCGCTAATCCTTTCAGCCGCTTTCAGCTGGGCAGCGGCGGCCGCGGTCGAGGAGGCGGTGGAGGGATTTTTGGTCGAGCGGATCCCGACTGGGATGCTTTAAGAGCAGTGTCCACGCTCTCTCCGGCAGAGCCGCCTGCCCCGAGTCGACCTCCGACTCCTCCACCTCGATCGCCGACTCCTCCACCTCGATCGCCGACTCCTCCACTTCGATCGCCGACTCCTCCACCTCGATCTCCGACCCCTCCACCTCGATCTCCGACCCCTCCGCCTCGATCTCCGACCCCTCCACCTCGATCTCCGACCC